GGCCTTATTATGTGAGAAACACGGTAGTGCTTTTACAGCCCTCTCCAAGTGGTTTACAGAACCAGCCTACTGCCCCCCTACAATCTGGGTCTTCATTTTACTGACCTCATAAGGAGGGAAGGCTGAGTCAACCTTGAGCCAGTCAGGATCAAACTCCTGGCAGTTGGCAGAATTAGTCTACAATGCTGCATCCTTAACCACTGTGCCATCGCTGGCTGTTAATTTAGCAACCACAATTGTGACCAGCAATTCTGTTGTTAAACCATGTGGTTGTGAAATACCACTGTGTTTGTGATCTTTCTTCAGTTTTCCTTTGCTTTACTGACTTGTAAATGCAAAGATTGGTCATGACTGGTTTTTTTTTTTTTTCATCCCTGTCATAACGGCAAATGGTTACTAAACAAGGTAGACGCTAAGCCAGGACTACCTGTATAGCCTTCCCATCTAAAATGGGAAAGGTGTTTTAGGTCTGCTGTGCCATGCCGGTCAACAATATCTTAAAGAAACGATGACATCTTTTCCAAGTCTTGCAGTGTGACGCTTTTCTTTAAAGAGCCACTGATAGGTAGCGTGAGCGTGGCCCATACATCAGATCCGAAACACCATTCCTGCCCTGGATCCCAACACCACCCAGGTCGAACCATCCACTTGCAAATGTCTAATGGAAATCCTGCCCTGCCCAATGGAAGGGCTCTCAGTACATTTGGTTAGGGTAAGGCCACAGAGGCAGGAGAGAGGCCGGATTTTCTCCCGCGTGGATCCGCTGGTGCCTTTTGTGGTGAGAACTCCGGCTGAAGCTTTTCCCGCAGTAACTACAGGTGTACGGCTTCTCTCCTGTATGGATGCGGTTATGCTGGGTGAGGGTGGATTTGTCGGTGAAGCTCTTCCCGCAGACGGAGCAGGTGTAAGGTTTCTCTCCCGTGTGGATCCTCTTGTGCCGGATGAGGTTGGAGCTGACGTTGAAGCACTTCCCACAGTGGCTGCACTCAAACGGCTTCTCGCCCGTGTGGATGCGCATGTGTTTGACCAGGTCCGAGGTCTGGTTGAAACTCTGCCAGCATTCGGCACACGTGTGGGGGATTTCAAAGGAAGAGTCCGGCTTCTTGGAAACTCTGGGTCTCTGAGCATGTCCGGAAGCTGAGCTGGGGGAGACCACAGCAGTCTCCGGGGTAGCGCAACTGCTCTGCCGTTTCCCGGGGGGGCTCTTCAGAGGCCTCTTCTCGTGGGAACTCTGGCTGAACATTTTCCCACAATCAATACACTGGAAGGGAGCCTCCCGCGAGTGGGTTCCCGCGTGTTGCTCCAAAGACGGCTTGTCTGCGAAGCTTTTCCCACACTCCGAGCAAAGGTAGGGCTTCTCCCTTGCGTGAATCCTCCGGTGCCTGCTCAGGTTGGAACGGATGCTGAAGGCTTTCCCACAGTCGGCGCATTTATAGGGCTTTTCTCCGGCATGGATCCTCTGGTGGCTCACCAGCTCCAAAGTTTGCGCAAAGGTTTGCCCGCACTCCGTGCAGATGTTAGGGTTCTCCCCCGAGTAACTTCTCTGGGGGGCAGTGGTGCCCTTTCGCTTCCCGGCCCTTTTGTTGGGGGTGCCTGCTTTCCCTTTCTCGTCTTCTCCCAAAAGGAGGCTCTTCTGCTGCTCTTCCAACTTCCACCGACTCTTCAGGCGTCTTTTATGAGTGGATATCTGAGGAAGTTTCCCTCTGGACCTTTTCGGAGGCATCATGAAACCGAGAGCTCTTCTTCCAGGTCACACCTGTTATTTCCCTCACCTGTTCAAAGACGACGACAACAACAAATCACATATAGCCACATAAATTGCAAACAAGTCTTTGTGTCAAAAACAATGCAGGCAATATCCTCGACTTACAACCATTCGTTTAGTGACCGTTCTAAGTTATATAACAGCACTGAAAAAAGTGACTTATGACCAGTTTTTTACACATACAACCATTGCAGCATTCCTCTAGTACAGGGGTGTCAAACTGGTGGCCCGCGGGTTTGATGCGTCATGCACAGGCCAGGCCCACCCCAGTTCTGCGAAGGGGAAAAGCATCATGTGATGGCAATCATGTCACGCCACGAGTTTGACACCTGTGCCCTAGGAATGTACTCAGCAGCTGGCATATTTTGATGACAATTGAATTGTCCTGGGATCATGCGATCACCATTTGTAACCTTCACAGTCGGCTTCCAACAAGCAAAAGTCAATGAGGGAGCCAGGTTCACTTCACAACCACATGATCCGCTTAACAATTTTTGCCAAAAATGTGACAAAACTCCTTGAACAACTGCCTTGCTTAGCAATGGAGATTTGGGGCCTCAATTGTGGTCATAAGTCAAGGACTACCGTTGATGTTAGAAAAATTGCAGGTTGGCAAAATTCCCCTCCGTCAAGCACGCACCCACGCTCTCTTTTATTGGTTTTTCATACATATTTTTTTCTTGTGCCACTGGCCATTTCCTCTAGCAGGGCTGCCACTTCTGCATCCAGCTGCCTTCCTAACCTGGACTCCGTGGACTGCCTGGACCTCAGCAGTTCTCAGGGGTCTCTGCCCCAACACATTGAAGGCGACCCCTTTCCAGACCCATGAAAAGCTTCTGTCCATTTAAGAGCTCCAGACAAGGGGGGGGAAAAACACCCAGCCAAAGCTGGGCAAAAGGCACCCCAAGGCCACATTGAAAGCCTCCCAGGCGCAGGTGGCATTAAAGCCCTGCTCCTCCTCGTTATTTGCACCCAGCTGAGGGAGCAGCCGGTTGTCTGAAGACCAAACGCAAATGGCCAGAGGAGGAGACGAGGCTGACTTGCATCCCCTCGCGGGGAAAGAGCGGAGCAGAAAGGACCAGGCGCCGGAATCTCTCCCTTCCTCGGATGGAAAAAGGGAATCTCTTGCCCGTTTGGAGCCGGGGTTGTACTCACTGCGGAGACCGGGACGGAAAGATGAAAGGCATCCGTCCGGGAGTCCAGACGCTTCCCCCGTCACTCTGCAAGTCAGTCGCTCGGCGCAGCCCCGAGTCCACCGTCCGAGGCTCCTGCCGGGCTGCCAAGCCGAGCAAGCGGCTGGGGCTGCGGAGCTGGCAGCGGAGGAGGAGTGGCAGGAAACGGCCCTCGCGCCTAACCTGGGAAGCCCAACCTCGGCGGCGACGGAGGAGGAGGGCGAAGCAAGCGAGGCGGAGGGCGAGCCGCTTCTTCCACCGAGGGAGCCCTCTCGCGGCCGCCGAGCTCGGGCTCGGCTGCGCGGCGTGTGAATGCGCCGCGAGTCCGGGTTTCAGTCGAGCCCCGGCGCCGGAGTCTCTTCCCACCCACCCACCCACCCATCCATCCATCCATCCATCCATCTATCATCATCTATCTATCTATCTATCTATCTATCTATCTATCTATCTATCTATCTATCTATCTATCTATCTATCTATCTATCTATCTATCTATCTATCTA